CAGTGGTGGCGGCACTGCGAGTGGCGCCTGTGGTGAGGCTGGCAGGGAGGCAGCGGCGTCTGGGTGCCACACCAGGTCCTTTGCCCGTGCAACTAGACTGCGATAGAGCTGCAGAGTGGTGTGTGAGAGGCACAGGCGCAGCACACATGGCATTCACACACACCCACCCACCCACCCACCCACCCACACGCAGAACACAGAAGCACGCTTTCAGTGTACTCATTGGCTGCCCGCTCATGCTCTCATGCTGCAGAGGGGCCAGCTGGTGGAGAGGCAGAAGGTGCGGCGAGTGGCGTGCATGCTCAAGCTACCAAGTCAGCTTCATAGAGAGGAGAGGGGTGAGGGCGACCGCAGTAGTTTTTGAGACGTCTCAAAAACAACCTCGCTACACGTGAGGGCGACCGCAGTAGCCTACTGACAAACTTGTGGTCGTGGAGGGCGAGGCGGGGCGAGGAGGGGCAAGGAGGGGCGAGAGAGGGGGCGTTGGGAGGGAAGAAGTGGAGAGGAGGGGCGAGGAGGGGGTTAGGAGGCTTTACAGTGGTAGCGGCCTCGCCGTTGCCGCCGTCGTTACGCCTGCCCTTCTCGCCACTGGTGAGCACTGCCCTGCCCGTACTGTTGTTACTGCTGCTCTTACTGCTTGCTGCTCTTTCTACTGCTACTGCTACTCCTGGCGTGGCCAGATGCAGCTCCAGCGTCGACAGGATGAAGTGCCATGCTTGATGACCAGCGGCCAGTCGCTCTCGACAGGACCTGGGCGCTAGCTGCACCATCGGCGAGCAGCACCTCGAGATGACCATGAAGGTGAGCAAGTGAGCAGCACGAAACTCCCCGCGCAGCTCGACATCTTCCTCTGGCGGAATTGGCACGGTGCCGTCGGCGAAGCCCTTCATCCCGGCAACCTCCTGCTGAGGTTCTATCGACTCCCTCCAGGTGATGAGGTCCCGTCGACCTTGCAGAGGTGTGACGGTGATCCGGTCCGGCGAAAACTTGATGTAGCCATACGCGGGTGCGATCCCGCCTGCCGTCACGTTGCATCATCGCCAAGATTCCTCCCACCGCTTCGTAGGGGAGAGCGACATCAACCATCGACGTCGGCACGCGAGCTGCCTACAGCATCTGTCGACCGCTGCACTCGCGCCTGACTCCTGTCAACGCCACTGTCGACCTTGATCACCCCTCTCTGCTTTGTGCCATCGTTGCCGCTGACTCGTGCACCACCATCGACCTCGTCGTTGACACCACCTTCGTTTCGCACCCGGTCGAGGAGATGCAGGACGAGAAGAGTGCTCCGTCGCCCACTGCGCCCAGATGCCCAACTCAGCGATCACCCAGGGGATCGTCCCGTCCTCGCCATCCACGTGGCGTTTCCTCGCATCAGCCAAACGTGCCTCCAAGGTGTCCACTAAGCCCGCTTCTACAACGGGGTCGACCATGATGACTAACGCGGTTACCGGCCTACGAACGACTTAGTTTTGTGCAAAAGTCGGCTCCTATCTGAAGGTAATCTGCGGGGTCGTCCACGCTCACCGCACCATGCAAAGAGGCACTAGACAAAGTGTTGAGCTAGACTACCGGGGGGGGGGTGGGGGGGTGGCACGAACCACTAGGAGTGATCGTAGGCTTTGCTTAGTTCCTTAGCGCTTGCGCATTCACCGGAGAAATCGGCAAGAGTTTCACTAGGCAAAGATTGCATTACAGAATGGTTGAACAAGCAACGACAGAAATGATTACATCAGCACCTAGCAACTCTACAGTTAGCCTGGTCGACCGCCAGCAGCACGCAATGCCTGCCAGCATTGTGTAGAAAACTTGTGCCAGCACTGTAGAAAGGCGACCTGCCAACACTGCAGGTCGACGGCGTGCCAACGCTATAGCAAAGCGGCTATCTAGAATTGCCCCACAGAAGACAACAGTGCGCACACTCGCAGGTGCGCGCAGACGATTGGCCCGACTTGCATTGTTTGTGCATCCATCGGCTGTTGTTCTGCACTTGACAAGCCACATCGACTTAGGATACCAGCCCCGAAGTTGCCCGCGACTTCGATGACGTTCGCGTGTTTCCGCAGGATTAGCCGAGCAGGTTACCTGGTCGACCTGGTCGACCACCAAGTGCTCTGGTTGACCACTAAGTGCCTTTGGTCAACCACCAAGTGCTTCTAGCCGACTACAGCTCCGTCCAGCTGCCCCCTTGTCGACCGACCCCTCCGTCGACCAGAACTGTCAGCTCTTGTCGCCGAGCTCCCCTCGTCGAGCGCTGCTCATATGTCAGGTCGAAAGAATTGCTCTGTCAACCCTCCCCGTCGAACTGCTCCTCCTGGTCGACGGCCCCACCTGTGCGACCAGAGCCCCAGTCAGCTGCAACTGTCGAACACCCTAGTCGACGGCAATACCACAGTGATCCTGCTGTTTGATTGAAGCACGTCAAGCATGCTCCTTCATTGTGAACGCCGGCTTGCGGCTGCTTTCTCCCGTACATCCGACCAAGTCGTCGGCGTTGCCCAAGCGAGGGCGAAGGGCCAACACTCCATTTTCGTTAACATGCTGCACTCGCGTCTGCCATCCCGGCCACGCCGACGCGATGGACATGAATCACTCCTCTCACCTTCATGCGCTCGTCAATACCGCACTTGGTCACTGTAGTCGGCCCGCTCGTTGATGTGGCCTTCGTTGCATTGCCGGTCGAGGGGAGGCAAACACACCGTCCGCTTTTATCACAGAGAGGTGGGTGGCTCGACCGTCTCCATTGTGCACGAGTTGGCCTAGGTCAGGCAACACCTGTAGGCGCGCCTTTCCGTACTCGCCTGTTGTGTGGCGCCCTACAAACATCCGCCTCCCCCTCGCCTTGTAGTACATCTGATACGCCTGCTTCGGCTCCTGTGGGCTATCCATATTTGACTTAGACGGCTGCCGGGCCTACGGGCGATTTAGGTAAGTGATAAGTTTGCTACCTTTGAAGGTAATTTTGCGGGGCCCGTCCATGCTCACCGCACCATGCGTAGAATCAATCTACATTGGGAGTCGGACTTTGGGGCAGGTATGGGTGGTACGAGTGATCGTAGCGTTCATTTATGTTCTCTTACACTTGTGCGTTTACAGTGAAAGTTGTGCAAGAGTTTCACTAGCAATAGTTGAGAACAATGATGCAATCATGGTAGGCAACAATGACTAGATCAGATGCAAGGTTTGCCCTAGCACACAGGCAGGTCGACCGTTAGCGCAGCAAGTCGGCGACCTATCAACGTAGCAAGCCGGCGGACCGCCAACACAGCTCAATGGTAGCTTGCCAGCACTGCAAGTCGGTGACTTGCCAGCACTGCACCAAGGCGTCTTGCCAATGCTGCTGCAAGGTGGCTTGCTAGCAGTGCAGCCGCAGGTAACTGTAAGCGCATGTGCGTACACCTACCTCGCAAGTGTTTGTAGACGTTATGCACGTCATGGACCACCACGAATATTGCGCAAATGCCAATTCGGCCACGTGCCGACGACTGCACCTGAAGACCCTAAACCCTAAACCACGCTGACTTGATTCGACGACAAAGTAGGCTCCGCTGATCCTACAAAGTCGGTGTCGTAGATGCCGGCTTCACATAAGTTGGCTGCCCCACAGGTCGACGAACCCCTCGTCGACCTTAGTCGAAGCTGGCCGCCGACTTTCCGTCGCTGTGGTCCCGTGCAGGTCTCGCTCAGGCCGGCGTTGGCCAGTGCAAACAGTCAGCTTCACCTCTCGCGGACCCGGTCATAACGTCGGCTTCGCCCAAGTGAGGGCGGGGCCGATACCTATCAACATTTGTTAGGGTAAAGTGGCAGGAACTGTGGCATACACGATAGAGGAGTTGACGCAATGTAAGGATTTTTTTTCCCTTTCATGCAGCAAAAAAACTTAGTTCAAGTACTGTGCATACACCTTGTGTACATCGAACATTCGGGACATGCTACAATATATCTGCTAAGAACAATAGATCATCTCTATGGGCAAACGTCCCGAACGTTACAAGCTCACGGGCAGAACACTGTTCGTCGTGACCGTGAATAAATTACCTGTCAGAACTATACTCTAGGCTGTAGTGGGGCACTCCTTATGGGGTACAGCCCTGTTAGGTTTCGCCTATACAAACCTTGTACTATTCTCATTCTAGTCCATTCTCATTCCTTACTTTGTGATATGGTTTCAGAGCAGGTTCCCTAGTGGGAACGTTTTGTTTTTTTAAGGGCCCACCGCATTAGTTTCTTTTTTTTCCTGCCCTGCCTGAAGCGCGACTCGCGCCTGTCTCGCCTGCGCCGTCGCGCGCCCTGCCCTACTGCCGCCCTTAGCGGCCCTGCCCTCGCGGCCCGTCGCGGCCTTACCCTAACGGCCCATCGCGGCCCTTTCCTAGCCGCCGTTCGCGGCCCTGCCCTGTCGCCGCCCTTCGCGGCCCTCCTTCGCCGCTCGTAGCGCCCCTGCCCTGCCGCTGCTTGTCGCGGCCCTGCTCTCCGCCGCTAGTAGCGGCCCTGCTCTACGCCGCCCCGACGCGGCCCCTACCCTGCAGCCGTCGAGACGCGGCCCTGCCCAACCGCCGCCGAGACGCGGCCCTGCCCAACCGCCGCCTCGTCGCGGCCCTGCACTGCCGGCCTCTCGCGGCTCTGCCCTGCCGCCTCGTCACGGCCCTACCCTGCCGCCTCGTCGCGGCCCTGCCCTGCCGCCTCGTCGCGGCCCTGCCCTACCGGCTCGTCGCGGCCCTGCCTATCCCGCCCTGGGTAAGCGCCCGCCCTGCCAAGCGCGCCACTGCACACGCGAGCCTGCAGAGCCGCGCCGCCCTGCCGAGCCGCGCCGCCCTGCCGAGTCGCGCCGCCCTGCCGAGCCGCGCCGCCCTGCCGAGTCGCGCCGCCCTGCCCTATCTACTACTGCTACAGCTGCTGCTACTGCCCCTACTACTGCTATTGCTACTGCCGCCATGGCTAGCCCTAGCGTTCTTACCCTTCGATGCTGAGGGTCGAGCGGTAGATTTCGAGGTCTTGGGTCGATGACCTGCAGCTCTTTCTGCAGTGCGACTCTAGGGACGGACGTCTCACTATTCGATCACACCTCCGGCGCCTCTGTTGCACCTGCTGCCGATGCTGACAGTGCAGTTCGCTCGCAGTGGACCACACGTGACGCTGCTGCTCGCCTTGCTGTTCGTAGTCACCTGCCGTCTGCTGAGCGCGCGCACTTTAGCCAGTACAAGACTGCTAAGTCTTTGTATGACGCTGTTGTTGCGCGCTCCTCCTCCACTACCTCTGCTGCCCTCAGCCGCCTCATGCTACCGTAATTGTTCCCTGACCTAGCCGCTTTTGCCACAGTCGCTGGCCTCATTACCCACCTCACTAGTGACACCCGCTACCGCGCTGCGCTTCCTTCCGAGTTCTGCGCCAAGAACCCCCCCCCCCCCTATGTACATCACCCTCTTCTACCTCGTCACCCGGCTCCCTGACTCCCTTCGCTCAGTCAGGGACCACTTCCTCTCCCTTTGCCCCACCGAGCTCACCGTTGACCTCCTTGAGGAGCGCCTCCTTGCAGCTAAGAAGAGCATAATCACTGTAGGAGCCTCTCGTGGTGACCCTCGTGCCCCTTTCTTTGAGGGGTGCTCCCCCGTCCCCCTTTTGCCCACTGTTGCCTCTGCTGCTGCTGTCGACCTCGTTGGCACCGAGTCGGTCGGGGCTGCGTCTGCTCCTAGTGGGAGGCGCCGCAGCGGCAAGGGCAAGGGGGGCAAGGGTGGTGGAGGGGACGGCGGGGGCGCCGGTGGTGGCAGTGGAGGAGGTGGAGGGGGTGGAGGTGGAGGTGGGGGTGGCGGCGGGAGTGGGGGCTTAGGTGGCGGTGGTGGAGGTGGAGGCGGCGGCGGCAGCGGCAGTGGGGGTGGCGGCTGCGGTGGTGCTGGTCGGGGTGGAGCTGTGCAGCGGGGAGGCTTTGGCGGTGGCCAGCGCCAGCAGCAGTAGCAGCGTTCTCGTGAGGCCCCGTCGCCCCAGCAGCTTCGTGAGTGGTACGCTGGGCGTGGGAGGTCTGGGGGTGTTGGTCCCTGCGCTTACGTTCTCCCCACCGGCGAGCGCAGTGGGGAGACATGCGGGCTGCAGCACGCTACGCACCGCTGTTTCGGCCGCCTGACGGACGCCTGGCGCGCTGGGGTGATCTGCTTATGTCGGGGGTTGCTATCTTTGATCTTGATTACGATGCTATCCTTGCTGTTATGTATGCTGTGACTATTAGTGCTGAGGGTGACTGTTACTTGTGTGTTCCGCCCGACCCGGGCATTGAGGCTGCTACTCTAGGTGCTAGTGATTCTGCTGCTTCAGGTGCTGGTGAGTCTGCTCTCTCAGGTACCGCGTCGGCTCAGGTCTTGCACACTTTCACCCTTGACTCAGGTGCTTCCCGTTCCTTCTTTCGCGACTGCACCACACTCACGCCGCTCAGTCGGCCAGTGGCAGTCTCCCCTGGCTGACCCCCTCTGGGGGTCCAGTCCTTGCGCACTCCTCCACGGTTCTGCCATGTCCGGCGGTCCCGTCTGGCTCCCTGTCGGGTCTTCACCTCCCCTCGTTCTCCACGAACTTGGTGAGAGGAGCTGACCTTCAGGACGTGTGGTTTGACCAGTTCACTCCTGGAGGTCAGCGGGTGACCCACTGTACGTGTACTCGGACGGGTCGGCACCTGGCCACGTTTACCTGTCAGCCTTGGTCGAGCCTGTACACCCTGACTACCGTGTCTCCTCGGTTGCTGAGTCTGGTCAGGTAGCTGCGTCTGGTCAGGTGTTTGCTGTTTGTAGCGTCCCGGTCTGGTCCTGAGTCTGCCCTCTGCTCGTATCGTCTCCTGTCTCACCAGACTCTCCTCTTTGCACCACCCCCTTGGTCACCCCTCCTTGCTCGTCTCCGAGGCATGGCCCTCCGTGTCCTTGTCACTGGCCTTCCCCGGTCTCTCCCTCCCCTTCCCCCGGGGCCTGCCCCTAGCTGCATTCCTTGCGTCGAGGGGGCGGCAGCGTGCCGCCTCCTCACTCCTCCGAGTTCCCTCCGACGGAGGCCTCCCCTGCAGACTCTTCACATGGACGTGTGGGGCCCAGCCCGCGTCCGTGGACAGGGTCACGAGCGTTACTTTCTGCTGGTCGTTGACGACTTTCAGACTGGAGCACAGAACGAAGCACATCGCTCTACGCTACTTCCTTGCTCGAGAGTTGCAGCAGCAGCGTGGTCAGCTTCGTCTTGCTTACGTGGCCACTCGGGCCAACAGTGCTGATATCTTTACCAACTTCAGCCTTGTGATCATCAGCGTTTCTGTACTCTGTTAGGTCTTGTGCCTACCTGGCCTCACTTGCTAACCTCTTGACGTTGCTTGTACTGTGATCTATATATACCTATACCTGCTTGCTTACACTTGTTAGGTTGAGTTTACTGTACTGTTTGTTCTCCTTGATATATAACTCTGTATGTAAACTGGCCTTGTGGCCTTTTGCTTGTGCTCAGAATGCGTGGTGACGTCGTGATTCACCCGGGGCTTGACCTTGGTTTGTTCTCTTGTTTGTCCCCCACTTTGCCTATGGGGCTGTGTTAGAACTATATTATAGGCAGTAGTGGGGCACTCCTTATGGGGTATAGCCCTGTTAAGTTTTGCCTATACAAACCTTGTACTGTTCTCATTCTAGTCCATTCTCATTCCTTACTTTGTGACATTACCCTCGTTTTTTATACAAACGACGATGGATTCCCAAAGTCTGGGAACTGTTGTTGAGCTGGTAGCCCCGAACCATGTGCTGTTTGAGAGAGGAGCGAATCATTGATCAGATTTGGAAGAAATAGCAGAATCGGTACGTTCTCATTAAAGAACTGGAGCAAAACACGTGCCGTGCGAACCGTTGTGGCAAAACATCGTATATCCCAGGCAAACGAGACCACAACAAATCATCATGATACGGTAATTAGGCCGTTCTGCATATCGACCAACTTCGCTTGGCCAACAGGTAGAAATCGAGAAATAAGGCATGCGACGAAAATGTCTCTAAGGTTGATTGTATGTACGGTTTAATAATTATAAGAAAAAAATGTACTGATCTTCAGGCAGCGAGCTGCATGAGATTTTAATATCAACCATGTTGGAAATTACATGATGGAAAGTGGAAACGAACGCAATCTAAATATGGAGAAAACTAGTGTACGAAAAAGAAAACTTATCATGTTTAAACCGCGTTGTCAGTACTTTCCGTGAGCGCTAGGATCGTAAAAAACTTTGAAAGACTACGAGACCATTGGATTGGCTGTAGTAAACATTCATGCACGACATGTATCGAACCCGTTACACTTGAAAAAAAAACTATACCAAAAAGGGGTCTGTAAAAGAGGGGATACACTTTGGCATGAAATGAAAAAGCTCTTCGTTTCTAAAAAATATTTTATTCTGGTTTCTCGTTTCGAGTACATTTTTATAAATGATGCTCAACTGCTGCCAACAAAATTTTCTCGTCCGTATTCGATTCCATGCCCACGAACAATTGGTGCTTGGAAGTTGCACCCAGCCCGGGCAAGGTTGCACTGATGATGAACAAATAGTAACGAAACGCCCAACGTCAAATTTCAGTGCAATGGTGATGGATTAATGGTAACAAAGAGACCGACGTCAAACTTTCAACGTGTAAGGGCGACGTCAGGTTGTACAATTCTCACACATACACAAATCTTGCATCGGTGGCTCAGGACGGTTCCACACGGTGGAAAGCATTTTTCAAGCTTCACCGTTTTGCACCGCGACGAAACGAAGTTGATTGCAGAGGGCGTGCAAAAAGTAGTACAACCTGACGTCGCCCTAACTATTGAGTTTTTTGGAAGCCCTTCTTTGCTAGCTGCGACGTTGACGAAGCCTTCCTAAACACACTTAATTGTCCAAAAGGCAGGCAAGTTGAGGGACCCAATCCAGCGTCAGGTGTACACGATTCCCCTCGTGCACCACGTGAACAAACAAGTGAGTCGTGTACTTACACGTCGTGTAGCGACACATTGTCGATCAACAGAGGCCTTCTTTTGTCTCACCCTTTGGCTCACTTATTACTCCACCGTCACCAGGGCTGTCGCTTGGTCTGGGCCCAATCCTTACGAAGCTGAGCTGGCCCGAAACAAACCCAGAAACATCCGGACAGCTGTCGAATCTAGCCCTTAAATTCAGGCCATTTGGATTCCTGCACTGAGCCACATGCACCAGAAAGCCAAGTAACTCTAGGTACGTACACGCTGTAGCTAAGTAACTCTAGGTAACCAGAGCACGCTGCTGCGGGAGAATAGAGAGGGCTGGGAGGAAGAGAAGTGGGACGCGTACACGGTCGAAGGTCAGGAAGAAGGGGGGGAAGGGGGGGGGGAGGGGAGAGCAGGTACACGGGAAATCCAGGGTAGGCTCCAAACCCGTCCGTTAGAAATATGGGCCAGGAAAAAACCCAGCTCTGAATTCTCTGAGCTGAGTTGAAATGAACCCTGAATCCTCAGGGAAAATGTGCGAATGCCCGTGAATCGACAGGCCTGACCGTCACCTTTAGCGCGATACTTTATCTATTCGATCATGATTTTCAACTTCTTCCAGCCAATTTGCGAACATATTGCTGTGTCGTCAATTGAGGGGGGGTTTGGAAACTATTTGCGCTTTCGTAAAGAATACGTAACCTCAGCACTGCCACACAAGTGGAGAGCCAACAGAACTCGATACGTGAGCAAGCTTACCCTGCCCCGTAGAGTCCATGAATCCGTGGGGTGGTGGGGAGGGAAGTTCACGGGGCCGTGACCTGGACTTGCTCAGTGCTCCACAGAGAAGTACTACAGTAGTGCAGTGTTCAGCGTTTTTTCGGGCAGATTACCCAACCAACCAAAATTCTGGCGTGGGCTCTCTGCCTATCAAACCACTTTCCTTTACAGTTGAATAAGCACAAACCACTCTGACGGGCAGCATTCTCATTTACTGTGCTTTCTGATACGTGTACAACTCGTGCAAAAGTTTGCCGCCCTGAGATCCGTAGATTTTGGGAACGTTCTTGGCCCGTGTCAAACTTCGGGCCAGGCAGCTTGACACGAGGTAGAATAGACAGGCATGGGCAAAAATCGTGTTTTCGTGTCAGACCACCCTGGGGAGCCTGACGCTTGACACTGGCCCGATGCTTGACACTGGCCAGGAACGATCCCTTATAGCGTGTGCAAAGTGCGCAAAAACTCGACGTCGAGCAACGTCGGTGAATTTCCACCCTCGGATCAAAGGTTCCAACCGTCAGGATTCACCGACGTTCCTCGACATCGAGTTTGTGCAGCACTTTGTACACGCCATTAGGGTTGAGTGTTGAACTATATACAGTGTGGGACTGAACCAAATGGACGAGCAAGAGGTGACTGCAAACGCACAATATGTTTCATTATCTTGTTTTGCTGATTATTTCAGGTTCCCATCTGTGGCTGCGGCTCTTGTACCGAGGTTTGACACGAACCCCGAAACCCTCATTTGCAGATAACAGTGGTTGGGTCTCCGCTTTCGCTGTGATTTGTCCCCATACTTTTTTTTTGTCCCGCAGGCCCCCATTCTCGGCTTCCGCACAATTGGGAGCATTGGCTACAGTGCTTACTGCTGCTTGGATCCTAGCGATCTGGTGCTTGGAGTCGAACCCCAGGTAGGTGGCGAGCAAATGCACTCCATAAAGAACGGTATACAACGGCAGATAAAAGCAAAATTGCTTTTGCGTACGGTTGAGTGCGGCAAATGTGCTTACATGGTATGTTCTTGGACCATGTTGGACACATTGATGTCATTGTGGCCGGCATGTTCATGTGGCGATTGTCAGTGTGGCGAGAATGAGGGTGTAGTTATGTGTTCCCCGACAAACAGCAACCGAATCTTTTTTTACTCTTGGATGGTTCGTCCTCAACTCGAAAATTGATGTTGTTTCCTCCCCTCATTTCCGACGATCAGGGTGAAAGGATTTCTGACAACC